TATTCAGTGTCTAAATTTCTTTAACAGGATCATTGAATAACTAAAATTACCAATTTGATGTATCTCTTTATGAATTTTTTTTTTTTTCAAATTGGCTACTGTTGAAGAATTCAATGTATGTTACACTTGGCTTATTTTTCTGTGAATTTTCCTCTTGGTGACAATTGTGATTTCCCCTGACTCCTAGAAACTACTTCTTTCGTAGGTTATCAGTACAATGGGTTGGACTTTGCTTGAGGAATTTGTGACATTAATTCTAAATGCTGTCAGATTTCTTTACAAGGAACCTCACCCAGTGATTAGTTTTTCTCCAGAGAAACAGATTTAGTCACTAAAACCAAGCACAATAGCCCTCTTTTCATCCAAAGAAGCTTTGCATAGGGAAAAATATCAGCAAGAAGAAATGTCCATCAATTAACCAAACATAAGCATACTTCAACTAGCACCATACAAAACCTGTCAGCCTAAATATCAGTCTTGGCCATGAAAGATTAAGTTAAATAATTTTATGTGAGTTGGCATCATTGCTTGAGATGAAATATGTATACATATATATGTATATACACATGCATAAATATATATACAAATATACACGTGTGTTATATATATATGTATATATATATACATATATATGTATGATCTTGGATGTATATAGTAGGATAGACTATTGCTGTTTAGAAACAAAGTTTCAATTAAAATTTTACAAAAATCAAAGATTTCTTTGTGAAAATACATTCACAGTGGCTGTTCTATTGCAGTTGTGAATTCTTCACAAACAGAATTGTCTTTCTGGTCAAGATTTCTGGAAGGTATCTCCACTGGAATGTATTTGTCTTCAGCATGGCTCTTTATCATCAGAAATAAAGTCTAGGAATGCTGTTCTTATCAGAGTTAAAATATCACAGGCTGTATTCAGCCATTCTTTTATCGTGTATTTGTAAGCACACAGATATGTAGTTGGATTGTTTGTTTTTCAAGTGGAAGCAAGTGTATATAAAGCAAATCCCACCATTACTGATGGGTGGAGGAGACTGGGTGAGCAGAGTAGTACATTAGCATTTCTGTAGTTTCTATCCTACCAAATACTCTTTCCCTAATATCCCTGACAATGAAGTAAATTGGTCTGGCTTATTCTATACATTGAGAACATTCTTTCTTTCTCATCCAGAATATGTTTTCTCCAAAGGCTTACTCGTATGCAGAACCTGATAGATTAAGTTTCAGTGCCTTCCTTTCTTAAATCATGTTCTACTCATCTTTTTCCTCTAAAGGTAGAAAGACTTGATTTTGGTAGACATTTTCAACAAGAACAGATGCTTGCCAGATATATACACAGACCGCTGTGAACCAGGGAAGATCAGCATGGTCCTCTGACCTCTGAGTGGTTAAATGCACAGTTAGAGACACTTACCTAAATGGACTGTTAGGTAAAGCTAATTCTTTTACTTGATCACTCTTCTATCTCTTACAGCAGGTTGTCTCTGTTCTGACAAAGGTTATAAACATCAGGGAAAAGTATACTAAAGAATAGAATTGATTAATGTGTCATATTTGAATTTGTTCCTACCATTCTCACAACAGCGAGTCCTGGAAAGGCAGTTCCAACAACAGTAAATTACATTTAAATTACACAGCATTACCTAAAAAATTACTAAGTTAATTCCACCTCAAAAATGAAATTTGACTTTTTTACCTACACTTGAACTACTTTCTGATTTTGTCTTTTTTTCCCCTACATTGGAGCCACTTTCTGATTTTTCATAGCGTGATGATTTCTGCCAAAGCAGCTACTGATTTAAGATCTTTTATTCACGAGATTGTTGCTGGGTTTTAAATTTCTGAAGAAAATAAATATGTAAAAGTCAAGAATGTATATGTATTATACCAGAAAAAGATACATTAAAAACTAGAATATATTTTTACAAAGGGGTATAGTGATTTTTCTCCTACTATAAGAGTTATATAGAAGGTATTATTGTATGACATCTTTTATTATTCTGGGTTGTGTTTTGTAAAAGGTAACAATGAAAAATCTCAATGTTTTCTGTTTTTTATGTAATTGTTCCAAAGAAAAATAGTTTTAAAAAGAAATTTTTATTTATATTGCCTAAATAATTTAGCCTCCATGAAGCAGTGTCCTACCAAGTCACACATTTCTGGACCATGAATTTATGTTAAGAGCATCCTTCTTTGTTTACTTGATGTTTGCCTAAGTTGCAATTTGAACCTAGGCTGTAAAAGATGGACATTTATTTCAACAAAGTAACTATATGGCGACTGTATCTTTTTATCAACACTAATATGAGCCCTCAAGTCAAAAATGATTCACACATACAACTTTTGATTTAAAATATAAAATTACATTATTTATAAGGAGTGGAAATGATATAATTAAAATGGTGCTACTTTCATAGAATATCGAAGATAATGTTGATAATATTGGAATTTTTAAATGAATATTTGCAGTGTGATTCTATCCTAGGTACTTTGCATGTACTAATTTAATTCTTAAATTCTTTTTCCTTTTTTCATTAATTACTTATTTATTTATATTTGGTACCAGGGATTGAACCCAGGGGGCACTTAACGACTGAGCTACATCCCAAGCATTTCCTTTTGAGATAGTCTCACTAAGTTGCTTAAGGCCTTGATAAATTGCTGGGTCTGGCTTTGATCCTGATCCTCCTGCCTTAGCCTCCAGAAACACTGGGATTACAAGCATGTGCCACTAGACATAAAGTTATAGTCTCCATTTTTTTTCAAGTGAGAAAAATAAAGCACAGAGTAGTTCTTTAACTTCTACAGCAGGTTTTTTTTTTTTTTTTAACTTTGACATTGACATCTTAGGACAAATAATTATTTGCTGTTAGAGTTGTGTTATTAGAGCATTTTAGATTAGTTAGCAACATCCCTAGTCTCTACCTACTTGTTGCAAAAGTAGCAGACACACAGCATCATTCCAACATAATAATCTTAGTATCTCTAGATGTTACCAAATGTCTTCCCACATGGCTGGGGGGAAAAGTGACAATATTACTGTTTGGATGAGAACCACTGGTTTAAAGCACTTATTAACATCCCTGTATGCCTGACAAGAATATTACAAGAGCATAATTAATGTATAATTGATTGCATCAATTATATTTAAAACTCAGCAAGAAAAATGAAACATTCTCTTGAATTGAGTTAATTAATTGAATTTTAATTAATTTGAAAGAGTATCCACTTTGGTTGAGAATAAAGGTAGTTTTCCACAAAAGTTGTTCCCAGAAAAAAGCTGATTATCTGCTCAGGGATGTATTGGAACAATTGCCCTGCATGACCACATAATCCAATAACTTGTCATTATCAAGTCAGTTTGGATTTTATCCTGCATGATGAGCTTGTGCCAAGAGGAGGATGATTCTCTCCCTTTTAAAACCTACTTTAATAAGAGACACCTCATGACTACTGTTCTACTTGCTGATAGTTTTCACTGTTAAGTGGTATACTTTCAGGAAATTCAATATTTTGAACTTCTTCTTTTAAAATAATAGCAGCAAAATGTATGAATCTGGAAACTCTCTCAGAATCTATAAGATCAGAATGAAATAAAATGATCTCAAAATGCTATTTAAAGCTACTTAATGGCTTGTGTTTATTTACAACTATATTGTGAAGTATTAGGGTCTGAACAAATTCTGCATTCTAAATTAATGATCCTGTGCTTGAAAGATTTTTAAACCTAATATGTGACATAAAATTCCATCATCTCTTGGTTCCACTTTTCAAACTGCCACAACTTTCTTAAAATGTATTTATTTATACCCTCTCCATGACAATATTAGGGACTCCTTTAGTAAAAATAAGTCATACCATATTTCTGCTTTTTTCTTTGAAAATATATATATATATATATATATATATATATATATATATATTTAATTCCACATTTAAATGACGGCTGCATCCATGTTGCAATTCTGAGTTTCCTCTAAAAACTCCCAATCTCCTTAATCCTCAGCAGATATAATGAGATATTTTTCTTTTTGTACCTTGGAATCTCTCTGTTTTACTTTAGCATCAGCCAAATCTTATGGACACCTTCACAAATTCCATGCAATAACTCTGCTGAGTTTATTGCCGCTATAAGTAGCAGTAAAGAACAACCTTTGGCGCTTGTCAATGTGTTGATTATGTGACTAACTGCTAGGATTTACACTCTGCTTTTTATTACAGTGATAGTTATCTTTTTTGCTATAAGTGCAATGAAGCAACTAGAATGTCACAGAGGAAGCGGTCACCTCTCCCCCACTCTATTCGAAATACACTTTTCATTTATTATGAAGCCTTAATGATGGAAAGGACAATGGGGGAACAATACCTGTTATCTGAACATTGCAAAAATGAGATTTGAATGTGAAAGCGTAACACAAATGGAAAGTACCTTAAATGGACTATATTTGCTTCATTTTTTGCATCAGTGAGAGATATATCCAATTCTCTACTCAATCTGGGTTTTCTAATAATGACAAGCTACATCTCAAAGATTTATCAAACTCTACCTGGTCGTGAATGTAAAAGGTTATGGCTGCTCTGCTTTCAGGAAGCCAAGCACAAGTACTACATAAAGCCTACTGATGCATACATTGTAGCACTCCAGGGCTGTAATAAATTTCAGATCATCTGTTTCTGCCAGCTTGTTTTAAACATCTATACACTACTACATGTAGCTTTCCTCTACATTTGAATGGATGTGTATCTACACATTGGCCATCACCCTTTCTATGTCCTCATGTAATTAAGGTGTCATCAAGTTTTCACAAACATGCAGATACTTTCATGAGAGATCTAGAATAAGTTTGTGAATTTAAGCTTTGTGTCTTTGGGAAGGGAAATAATGAATTTGATTTCTCAACCTGTGAGGTAACGAGAACTGTGTTTCACTTGTCAATGTGACAAAGGTAAGAGGATCTCTTAGGACCCCTTAAATTGATCTTTTGAATGTGATTCTTTTGCAGACCACAGATGACATCCTTGTGGCCTCAGCAGAGTGTCCCAGCGATGATGAGGACATTGACCCCTGTGAGCCGAGCTCAGGTGGGTTAGGTTAGTCGACTTTTTTTCTTACTTCCTTGGCTTTACTGTAATTCTTTGTTGCATGTCACATTCCCAGAAGAGCTGTCCATTTATGTGTAGAAGGGTCCCCCATTCTATAATGTTGTATTTGATTAGGGTCCTCCCTTTTTACAAGGACAAATTTACCCACATTTATTTTTTAAATGTTTTTTAAAACAAAACCCACGAAGAATATATATTTCAGAAAAAGTGATGGGGGACAGCATACAGGGTTGCTACCTTGCAGTTCATTTTCCATTAGCTCACAGCATAATTTTTGTGTAGAACAGTATAATGGACTTTCCTTTGGGTCACTTATAGTAAAATTGTAAGGCTAAAAAATTGCAGTGCATTGTACAAAATTATTTGACCTTTGTACTCACAAAACATCCCCACCATTCACTCTGCCAGCAAATTATCTTAAGCGATGTATTTCTGAATTTTGGGAAGTGAGAGTATTGTGGCAGTAGTAAAGAAAACAGCAGGTAGAGTCCTTGGTAGATTTAATAGAGAAATATTTGAGTCTTGCTATGGTTCCCTGAAATTCAAATGTATGCATTTTACTTGTAGACAATGCATAATTTTTCCTCCTTCTTTATGACATATTTGTATCTCATCTGATGTGACTAACACATAACACTTTCCATATAGCCTTTGTGCCTTATGTGGAGACTGTGGATCCTGAAAATAAATGAATCACAATCTGGATTTGATTCCCTATGTTCATAGGGTCACTCACATTAGTTTCCTTTATCAAAGAGTTGTTTCTGGAAATTCAGTTACTCTCTTGTTTGTGTTAACGACATGACTGTAGAGGATAAGAACCAACCTCTGTCTGCTAGTTTATGACCTCCGTAGATGTCACCTACAACCTCAAGAGACCTGTATGTCATGATAAAATGACAAATTTACATTTTTGTGAAAGTTCCACTTTAAAATAAACCTATCATTATAAAACATTGAATAAAAGTTTCAGGATACAGAGCCACCTCTCTTTCTGTTTTATTTGTTCTTTTTAGCCATCCACGGCAGTAGAATCCATTCTGATGCAAACATATAAGCATAGAATATATTTTATTCTAATTAGGATCCCATTTTGTGGATTTTATTCTAATTAGGACCCCATGTTGAGATTCACTGTGATTTATTCCTATATGTACATAGGAAAATATGTCAGATTCATTCCACTGTCATTCCTGTTCCCTTCCCCCTCCCCCTTCCCTTCATTCCCCTTTGTCTAATGTACTGAACTTCTATTCTTCTCACCCTCCCTCACTGTTATTGTGGTTTAACTTCCACATATCAGAGAGAACATTGACCTTCATTTTGGGGGGAGCATTGGTTTATTTCACTTAGCATGACATCTCAAAGGACTTAAAATCAGCACACAACAGTGACACACCACATCAATGTTTACAGCAGCACAATTCACAATAGCTAAGCTATGGAGCCAACCTAGGTGCCCTTCAAAAGATGAACACATCTTTTTGGACTGTCACTTCCCCCCATTGACTGTAGCTACTGATGCAAACACTTAGAGAGCAGCTGCTGAATGCAGTGAGGAGCAGGAGTGAAAAAGCTCCCTCTCAACAAGAGTGGGTACAGGTTTTCCCACCCTCCTTCCTAGGCTCCACCCCACAGTCAAGACTGTCAGCCCTGACATCGCCCATCAGTTGTAACTGTTAGATCTCTGGTGACCATCCATTCAATACTGCACTCATCAGTCTCAACCACCAGTCCCTTTTGGTTGTATGGACAGATACAGCCAGCCACCTCATGACACCATTATGGGTCTCTTGGCCAAGATTGTACCTTTGTTTTTATTGGTATTCTCACAGCTCTCTCTATGCTCATAAAAAAGACAAATAAATAAATAATAGGGATTTCAGGAATTGCTTTTTGTCATTATTGTCATATATTCCCAGCTCTCTGCTTTCTCCCACCTTTACATTCCCTTTCCTCATTTCTCTTAGGCTCACATGCCCAGCCTTTCTGGTGCTAATTCATCACACCAGGACATTTTTTTTGTATCTCATCTTCTGTAAGATCCTCCAATTTGAATTAGTCCAATTACAAAGGCTGGTGTTTATGTGTGTAGAAGTATATAGTTTTTGTTTTTCCCAATTAGTATTTTTTTTCAGGGTAGTTGATTCTTTTTCAGCATTTTAATAGTGTTCAAACAATGTAAAAACGGCCTAGGTTTTTACTAATCGCAGCTCCTGCTGATTTTCTTTGATCTGCTTCCCACTTTTGCTGTCTCCGTACAGACTAACATCTTCTTTATACAGTCTGTACCTTAAGTACCCAGTAAATCCAGTGCAAGGACTCTAATTGCAAGTAAAATTGTCACTTTTTCTTTCTTCTTGAACTAAATGGCCCAATTATTCTAGCCCTTGCTTATAGGTCTCACTAACCATTTCTTAAAGATTGGTCCATTGTCTCTGCCCATGGTTTACGGGAAAAGAGGATGGTGGGGAGAGAAGAGAAGGAGATGGAGCAGAGGAGACCAACAGAATCTTTCTGTCTCCCTCTTCTCCTCTTGTTTCCCCCGATTTTTGTCTGCTTTGTTAAATACCTTAACACAATTCTCTTTGCACTTATGTGAGTAGGAGCTTGCAGTATCTACTCTCCAGATGATCTTCTTTACCACATCTCTCAGTGCCTGAAACCATCACGTTTACTTACCTGCCACTGTTTCACTAATGTATATAGCTTGCACCCCCCACCAGAAGGTACACTCCACAAAGCAGGAACCCTGTTTGTTTGCTCCCCATGTGGAGACTTGTTCTGGAAGCATAATTATTTTCTGTTGCACCAAAGTCTTTTATCCAAAACACAAGATGAATTTTTCCTGATTCCACCTAATGATGGCTACTTTTTAATACTCAAGCCTTCTGTAACTTCTTATTCTTTCCTTCAGTGTTTCCTTCCTCACTCCTTAGTTTTCAATTCATCAATTTCTGTTAAAGCAAGAATTTCAGATTCTGTTACATGGTGTGTTCATTCACTGTCAGCCTAACTTGTGAAATTATCTCTTCTGGTCTTATGTTTTATGACTTTTCTAGTTTCCACCTATCATTTAGGAATGCACATTCATTTCTTATCTTGTTTGAAAATGAATATTATTTCACATTAAGATTCCCCTCCTACAAGTCTTTCTTTGTGAATGAACTGTTTATCTTAAATCTCTAATTGCTAATGTCCTTGGGCTTTGGATACTGTTAGATGTATCTTGAGGAAAAGCATTTCAGATATCAGCAGGTCAAATCTGGGGAAATTGCTTTTTTAGAAAAGTAACATATTGAGGTAAATATTCAGAAATGCACAGGTTTGCTATGCACATTTGTGATTCCTTAAGTAAATGAAAGCAGATATTTCTAAGTAGATGCACAATTATCTTAATAAGTGCATTGTCCAGTCTTTTAGGTACTTCACCTTCCCTGAGGATTTATTTATGCATGAACATTTTCTAATCTCTCAGACCCTCCCCACCTTCAAAACTAGGTTTTTCTCTGCAAAAATCTGCCGTGTTCATTATTTAGATGCCTTCCTAAGACTGTTAATAGAAAAAAAAATCCAGTATTATCTTGAGAACTCATAATTATACCTTTTATTAAGTGTTTGATAATTTGAATTACTTTCCACCCAGGACTCTAACAAAGAGGGTAGTTGTGTATTTAGTTTTCAATTCATCGTTGATTAGATATTATTGAGTCCTGGTTTACATCCACTGCTGTGCTAACTGTGGAGGAAAAAACAGAGTTTATACCTTGAATTCTATTCTAACAAGGGCTTTTTTTTTCTTCTACTCTAGATGCCATTTTAGTTATTCTTTCTGATTTTCTGGTTCCTCACCTATGACAACAAAATATCACTTATTTTCAGAGGTGTTGCAAGAATTACAATTAATATGCTTGAGGCACTTATTGCAATGTTTGGCATAAGGTAGAGCATAAATGTCAGCTTTCCTTGTTTCCCAATTCAGTCATATAAAAATAATATTCAAGCTATTTTTACTCTTTACATAATGCTGCTTCTTTTCCTGGCTGAAAATTGGTGGGCAACTGATAATACCACTCAGGCCTCCTGATGGGAACTGTACATGTTGAAACTAGATCAGGGACAACCCCCTGGGTGGGAACACATGGAACTCAATTATACTTGATTCTAGCTGCACTGTCCTGTGGTTTGCCTCGTATGATAACTGCACTGTGGTACAAGCAGAGTTTTAAGATATGAAAAGATGGCTATGACATTTAGGAGAGCTAAGTGAACCCCAACTCTTAGTCACAGGTAGAAATCCAGCAGCCTGAGGTCACAGGCCATCACTGTCCTAAAATGCCTGCTGTGAGCTGCCCACATACCTGACAGATGAATGACCTTTTCTTCACACTTTGCCTCACAAAACACTTGCACCTTTTGTGCTTCTCCCTCTGCCAAGTGATGTGGTTGTTGGAATGAATTAATTAACATATGGAAGACACGTTGAAGAACAATACCTTGCTCAGAAGAACTGTTATATGAGTATCTCCTGTTATTTACTATTTATGTTTCAGAAATATACATATTTTCCAAGATTCCTTTTTATTTCACATGAACATAAGTCTTTGTAGAACAGATTGCTTTGAAACCTTACATTTCAGATTCACTTAGTGAATTAACAAAATGGCAATACTGCAAAACCACTTGAGGTCCCAGATGGCCTTTAATCACACACATCTGTGTGTCTTTATTTGGGTCCTTCTTGTAAGTGTAAGCCTTTCTCAAAACTCCTAGAGAAGTTTGGAAAAGGTGATTTTTTATGTTGATATTCAAGACCTTAAGTGAAAATAATAACCCTCTTTGGTGTGGGAGCTTCCTGATGAATAACTCCAATTTGTTATTTGTGACACACAGAACAGTTCAGTTTCCTGTTTCCTGGGAGCCCTATTAAGGGAAGACAATTTCCTCTTAGATTTACAATGCTAAGAGTAATGTGTCAATTCTCTTTG